GTGATTATCAAGATTTCTTATGTTTTTTTTTTATCAATAACAGAAACTTTTATTAATTAAAAGGATATGGAAAAGATACAACAAGAAGGGGGGTAAAATCTCTTACCCCACCCAAAAAACATCACATTACAATACAGCCCAAAAGAAACTAGTTCTTCCCACCCCTTGTTTAGCTAGATAATCTGCAAAAGAATTGGCAGTCCTCTTGGACCACTGAAACTGAATTTGCATGTCTTGAGTGAGCTGGAAAATTTTCTTTTTCTCATTTGAGAACTTCCATAAACTAGCCTCTTCCTTCTGCAGCCAGTTTAGAATCACCCTCCACCAACAGCTTCCTAATATTCAGCTGTTTGGCTCTTTTAATTCCTTCTAATACTGCTGAAATTTCAGCTCTTAGAGAATCCCCCCAGCCTATAGGCCCTGAAAACATAGCCATAATTCGACCTTCTTCATCCCTGAACACTCCTCCAATACCTGAAAGGCCTGGGTTCCCTTCACTGCTACCATCAAAATTCAATTTAGTGAACCCCATAGTTGGAGGAGACCAAGTTGGAACAGTAGCATTAAACAGCCGAGCAGACCAGGCAACTTCTTTCCAACTGAGATACCTTCAAAAAGCTCCGTAGACTTCCTTGCAGCCCTAGAAGGTATCCAAAGAGCAAGGGAGTTGAACATTAGATGTTTGGTTCTTGAAAGTAACTCGGAGGTGGTGATTAGGTGGCTAAAGGGGGGAGGCAGCGGATTATGGAGTTATAACAATGAGAAGAATAAATTTAACTGGCTGAGTAGGGATATTGTGGTTCATTACAACTAGGTGAAAAGGACTGCTAATTCTTTTGCTGATGGATTAGCAAAGCAAGGGGTGGATAGGGTTTCGACTTTTTGGGCTAATTTTTTAATTTTCCTTGTATTCTTTGGTGGGGAGTTAAGTCTTTGACCTCCCCTTTGTACCTAAGCTTCACATAGTTCCATATCTTTAACAAAGTTTCTTGTTATTGATCAAAAAAAAAAGCTCCATAGACTTGACCCAATGAACCACCTTAATGTAGATCAATGATGACTTCTTTGTTCCTTTCTTTTTCCTGGAAGGTTCGTTGATTTCTTTCCTCCCACACTGACCAACATACTGCTGCTCTTACACATCTCCACAAGATCTTACCTCTCTTTTTTAAACCCCTCACTGGAACAGAGTTAAACAAGCTTAGTACACTTGGGGGAATGGGCCACCTGCAACCAAAAAGAGAGAAAAACCAATACCAGATTTCTGAAACAAAAGGATAGGAAACAAATAAGTGATAACAGCTCTCACCATTCCTCTTACATAAGATACACCAGTGCGGGAATAAACACCATCTTGGCCTTTTCTTTTGAAGTAAGTCACAAGTGTTACACTTTCCTAGGATAGCTTCCCAGCATAAAGAACCTACTCTGGGAGGAATTGGTCTACCCCAAACTTCCAGAGCCGGGAAAGGAGGATCAAGGGCTGAATGGGAATGGGTTAATTCCTTGAAGAAGGAAGAGCATGAAAAAATACCCGAAGGAGTAGGAGCCCAAATCCCACTGTCCAATCTAGAGGGGTCAACAACTACCTCCTCCAAAATCTTAATCAAATTAGAAATGGAATCCATTTCAGAGTCTCTAAGAGGCCTCCGGAAGCCCAAGTTCCAAACAGGGCCAGAAGTATAATAGGTTAGGAAAGTAGCAACAGGCTCATTTTTAAACCTTGAGAGATAAAACAAAGAAGGAAACTGCTCCTTCAAAGGTGAGTTACCCACCCAGATGTGTTTCCAAAATCTTACAGAATTACTAGAGCAAAGGTCATACCTGACAAAAGGAAGGAAGGATGAAAGAATAGTATGAATAGACTTCCAGGGGGAAAGCTCTTGTAGCCCTAGATGAAATACCCATGTCCCAGCCATTTGCCTCTTGCCCATGAATACTTAGGATTATTTTAGCCCACAGATTATCCTTTTCCTTTGCCAGTCTCCATAACCATTTCCCCAACAAGGCTTCATTCTTCTTCTGCAAGTTACTTAAGCCAAGGCCACCATCCTTTTTAGCTCTATTTACCAAATCCCACCTAACTCTATGATCCCTTTTCTCCTCCCCAGGTTCCCATAGGAAATCTCATGAATTTCTCCAACACCCTACACACTCCCTCAAGAATCTTAAACACAGACAGAAAATATATCGGGAGGTTCGCCAAGGTTGCTTTAATCAATGTTATCCTACCACCCAAAGATACATAGTTTTTCTTCCATGAAGCTAGCCTTTTGTGAATTTCTCAATCACTGGATTCCAAAAGTCCCTTCTACTAGGATTATTCCCTAAGGGAAGTCCCAGATATTTCAGAGGCCACTGTGCAATCTTGCATCCCAATATTTGGGCCCTTTCTTCCACCTCTTCGGCCCTCATATTAACACCAATCACACAACTCTTATCAAAGTTGACTTTGAGGTTGGTCACATGTTCAAAGACATTAATCACCCGTTTTAAGTTTCTAACCCACCTTATCTCCTCCCCTCCACAAAACAAAATCGTGTCATCCGCAAACACTAAATGAGTGATCTGAATTCCATCCCTTCCAACTTTCCAACCACTTACCAAACCCCTAGAATCTGCCCTCTCCATAATCCTCCCCAAAACTTCAGCAATCAAGGTAAAAAGAAAGGGGGATAGGGGGTCCCCTTGCCTAATACCCCTAGTAGCTGGGAAATGGTCCACCACCCTACTATTCACCAAAATGGAATAGTGACAAGTCCTAATGCACCCTTTTATCCACTTACACCACCTTTGCCCAAAACCAAAGGACCCAAGCACTTCCAACAACACAGACCAATCAACCAGGTCATAAGCCTTTTCTATATCCAACTTACATACCAACCCTTTCTTCCCATTTCTTTTGAAATCTTCCACACTCTCGTTTGCTATTAGTATTTGATCCACAATTTGCCTATTCTTCACAAATGCACCTTGGTTAAGGGAGACAATTGTGGGGAGAACCTCTCTAATTCTGTGCGAGAGAACCTTGGCAATGATCTTGTATAGGCTATTAACCAAGCTGATGGGTCTGAACTCCTTCGGGTGGCAAGCACCCTCCTTTTTTGGGACTAATGTAATGAAAGTAGAGTTCAGACCAAGGTTAATCACCCCTCTTTCAAATAATTCTAAGAACACCTTTTGGATGTCATCCTTAATAATCTCCCAGCAATCTTGATAAAAAGCCATTGTAAAACCATCGGGTCCTGGGGCTTTAGCTCTATCCATAGAGAAGATGGCATCCCTTATTTCCTCCACCTCAAACTCTCTTTCCAACCAATCAATCAGCTCGCCAGGGAGCCTGAGCCAATCCAAACCTTTAATCCTTAATCTCTCATTTAAGGGTCTCTTGAAAATAGATTTGAAATGATTCACAAAAGCCCCTTCAATCTCATTTTGTTGGGTTAAAGTTATACCATCAATATCCAATTTAGAAATGCAATTCTTCTTCCTTCTACCATTAGCTATAGCATGGAAGAATTTTGTGTTCCTGTCTCCCTCCTTCACCCATTTGTGTCTGGATTTTTGCTTCCATCTGATCTCTTCTTTAAAAAGTAGATCCTCTAGATTTTTCCTCAATTCCCACCTCMACTCTCTATCTCTTTCCCCAAAGCAGCCTTGGTCTTCCTTTGCATCTAGCTCCTCTAACTAGTTAATAAGTTGTTGCTTCTTTTCTTCTAATCTCCCAAAGTGAAGAATGTTCCACTCTTTAATTTTACCTTTAAGCTCTTTTAACTTCCAATGGAATCTCATACCTGCCCAATTCACCTCCGGGTTACTTGCATTCCACCATTTCTTCACATTCTCTTTAAAATCCGGATGAAGCAACCACATATTCTCAAATCTGAATGGGGAAGGTCCTCTATTTCTAAATTCAGACTTGAAGAGTGAGATTGGCCAATGATCAAAAGTTACTCTTGGAAGGGCCCTTGACACTATGTCTCCCTAATGCTCTTCCCAATCTGCAGTGAAAAGGAATTTGTCTAATTTGGAACAAATTGGATCAGTTTGGAGATTTGACCATGTGAATCTGTTACGTTGGAGTTCAAGTTCCTTAAGTTCAAAAACATTAATAAACTCATTGAATTTCCTCATACTGATGGTACTCCTTTGTCGTACCTTACTGCACTCTTCACTGAATCTAATCACATTGAAATCCCCTCCTAGGCACCAAGGTCCATCCCATCATTCCATTGAAGGCTTCATATTGCATTTGGTGTGACCTCATAAGTAATTTCAGAAGAGAGGTGCAATTCTTTTACTCTAAATTGCAGTGTTTTCAACCCGCCTTTGACCCATCTGGTCAGACCATTCGACTCGCAACCTGGTCATGATTCTGGTCCAGGTTAACCTAAAACTGGAAAATTCTTTGAAAATGTTGAGTTGGTCAGCAATCCACTGACCTGGGTGGTCGAACCATTGACCTATTTGACTCGGCCAACAGGTCATGAGTTACAATTTACAAATTACAAGAAAACTTCCAAAGGCCATAACTTTATGATCGGTGGTCAGATTGGGTGACTTTTTTTTTCAATTTTGGGGTACCTTTTCACAGTCTATGCAATTTTGCCAAAAAATGGCTTTTTAATTAAAATAAAAAATCTATAAACTAGACTTAAAATAAAATCATACGTATAGATAAATAAAATCATACATACATAAAATAAAATCATAGGCTCATGGGTCAACCCATTTGACCTGGATAGTTGAATAGCTGACCCGTGCCCTAGAGGAAAACAGGTCAGCCTCCAGGTCGGTTTTTAAAACATTGCTGACTTCTCTGTTGTTCTTTTCTTTTGCAATTTCCATAATTTCATTTCCCCTTTTCAATGAGAGTTAAACATCCCCTAGGTTGCCTATACCATAGGAGAATAATGTTTTATGAAGAGCAAACTCAACTATAAACTTAAAAAAAAAAACTTCAAAAGAGGCAACCTCTAAAACAAAAGCTTGAATCTTACCTATCTTTGGCCTACGAGAATTGGGAGCCCTTGAAGTTTGAAATTCATCTAGAGAGAAATACAAAGAATTTTTATTTGAATCAGTGGAAATATAAAAAGATTTATCAACATAAATTGCAAACCAAAAGACTAAAACCCATAAAGATCAGCCAATCAACTTACCAAACAAGTATAAATCATTTCCCATGTAATATTTCACAGCAACTTCAGGGGCAGGCAGTTTTTTCAAGTCATCTGCATCAATAAAATAAAAGTAATATGCATCCGCTCTACGCCTCTACCCCTCCCAATACCCAGGATAGCTGGGATGGTCATTAGGTAATAGCCCTATTTATCCATCACATCAATAAAAAGAGTAGGCTAGGGGTTATGGGTTGGGGGATGGGCTACCCCCGTTGTGTAGCCCTTCAAAAGAAATCAAAAAATAAATAGATAAATTGTAACCGACCAACCTCACTTTCCATTATAGATTATTTAATTATCAAAAACAATAAAAAGAGTAGGTTAGAATCACTACAGTTGGTCCTCAAAAAGAGGGGGCTATGATCATCAAGTTGGACCTTTTCTCTGGGAAAGGAGCTGCTTGGTGGGGCCATATCAGCTTTATAAATATAAATCAATGTTATTTCATCATCATCTTTTTTTTCTTAAAAACAAACTAGGATAGCCATATAACTTCCAGAACTCTTACCTTCCCGGAGCTTGATAAACTTGTCATAAGTAGCATATGCATGCATCTCCACACATTCAGAAAAATGGTCTGCACAAACCATGAAAGAGATTGTACAAATATGAACTTCTGACACTTTAGCTTTTCCATAGACATAGACAATGCATGAAAAATTCATCCTATTCTATCTTTCAGTATAAATGGCAGACAATCTAGCATAATCTAGCTTCTTCCAAGATGTGAAGTTAAGCTCTAAACTCTGCACATTGTATAGTGACCCTTATCCAATCCCTTATTAGAACCATTTTTCCCAGGGAGGGATCTGATGTCATTTACCTTATTGGAAAGTTACAGATCTTATAATTTGTGAAGCCACAAAAAAAAAAGAAAAAAATAAATAAGTAAAAGGTCTTATGGGGAGGAAATTGATAGATTAAAAAAGAATTCAAATCTGGAATGTCCGGGACAATATAAAACATTTTTAACATTTGAGATGGATGGAAAAAACATTTGCTGCACCATCCCAAAAATTTTCCAATATGAAAGTAAATAACAAGACAAAAGAAAATACAGTAAGCTAAATACAAATAATTACATAGCTTTGGCCCTATGTAAGTTAAGAACAAGAATGATATGCTTACATGCCATTCTTGGACTTAAGAGATACATAAAAACGGTCATGAAGTAATAAAACACTGCAATATGTTGTGCAAGCAAGCGGTCCAACCACCATGAATTTCCACCCAATTCCTGCACTAGAAACAAAGTGAACATCTAAGAAAATTTCAAAAACTTTTCAGGGAACAAATCTTCTTATCAAATTATCCAAATCCATTGTGGTTGCACACAACATACATGTATTTAAAAATAAAAGCTATATAAAATTGGTTTTGTAATACATAAACAAGTACACTTGAAACAGAAAATAAGAAATGTGTAACAAGACAACATGGTTACTAGATAGGTTAGAATTAAAGATTTGGACCTCCATAATAAGCAAATGGTGCATCTCATTCCAGCTTTCAGCAAAATGCACTTTCAAATAATCTGCTCTTCTCCACCAACCAAAACTCTCATACATGTGTAGAACAGACATAAATGCTGCAAAACAATGAGCAGTATCATATTAAGGATGCAATTACAGCACAGCACTTGAAAATAAATATAGCAAGTCCATGGTCAAGCAGGTAAATTTTTGGAGACAGAGTTCTCTAAAAGGAAATTCTAGCATTATCGTATAAATTAATAACTTGAACAGAAATCTTGCATAAAGATGCTCCATTGATGATAAAAAACTGCAGCCCATCTCACAACTTAAGACTCGCTCACATTGGTCTGGACACTGATCATTCAACTATTTTTGGCAGTTTTTGAACATTTACATACAACTTATGCTTATATTTTAAGCAATAAGGAGAAAAGGAGGGAAACAATAAAAATAATGTTAGTATAAAATGAGAATTACTCAAACTCTTTACATTTTAACAGGGGGAATTTGTTCTACAACTGTCATGATAGATTTTTTTTGAATTCTAAGAGCTGCAGGCCAGTCAAAGGTCAGCGAAAACTATTTAGCAGAAACAATAATAACTCTGAAAATTATAGAATAAAGAAATAACAAAGCTCACCAAAATAAGGAACTCTTGCAATGGTTTCCAGCACATAAAACCTTGCATAGTTGCGGTCATGGTACAAGGTATCAAGTATCTTTATAACCGATTCCTGTATTGATCAATAAATTTTCAAAGTTAAGGCAAGGAAACAGTATACAATTCTACCATGAAAGGGAAAAATGAAACTAGTATCACCAAAGATTCCGAGCTGTATAATCTAATCTGGTTCTCAAATATGGGTAACAATTAGATATCAGGTACCCTGTAAATCTGGAAACCTCAAAGCAAGATACCTACCAAAACAGTATGGGTACCTCTATGGGCAGGGACCCTAAAATTTTTTTATGTAATTAATAATACAAAGGAACTATAATATTTAGTATGGTGCAATTAAACATGAGTAGTTAAATATCAAAGTTCAAAACAATAACATAATTACATCAAAACAAACAGTACTAAGGTGTCTCTAATAGTCTAATTCAACTTCATAAGATTGATGACACCAACTTCATTTTTCAAAAAAAAGAGATTGAATGAACCTTAACATCCTTCAAAGATGGCCCATGTAACTATTTGCAGTCCATATCATCTTACTATTAAAGCCCCTTAACCCCTAATCAATTACATGAAGAAACCATGAGATGAAAATGTTATCAAAATGATCATACGTAAAAACTTCTGAAAAGATTACCAAGAAAGAGTTTTGGAATTTGGAACCATGGTGTTAAGGTTATTCCAACTTCCAAGTAACCTGAAATATATTAGTTATATCTCCCTTTTCTTAAAACCAATATCCATGAATTTTGGTGGTGACCTCTAAAGATAAGTCTGGATCATCCCTTCAACGAGTTACTACATACTTGCAGCAGCTAGTACTAGGTTTGTTGTTCAAATGGGTTTCATTAAAAATAGTGATCTCTAAATAAGAAAACTCAGAGTCTAAGACACTGATCCTATAAAAATAAGATACAAAGAACTGCGCCCCAATATCTGATGGGAAACTAATTTCGACTGTAAACTTGTAGAGTGAGACCTTAAAGAAAAGAAAAGAAAAGGAGGGGGTGAATATGGAATTGTATATCTATAAGTGCATGCAGATATAACGAGAAAAAAGATGGAATAGAAAACATTTGTTCAATCTTCACCAAATGGGTAGAGAAAGAGACGATTAAAATCAAGGAAAAAAGGGACGAAAGTTTACCGTGAGAAAGATATTCACAGACTGTTCAATCTTAATGACCCATCTCTCCAACACACTGGATGACATACTATCTGATCCATCGGCATCGCTTCCTTTCCCCTCGTTGTCAGGAATGCCCTTCACTTGGAATGGCTCCACGACCACCTTCTCCTCATTATCTTGCAAAGTTGTTGCTTTGACTCTACAAAACTTTCTGCACGGAAAATAATACGCAAATTCATACAGAAACAACAAATACATTAGAATATAATCGACCAGCCACCGAAGACCCTCGCAGCTATCAGAGTAGTAAATTCAAATACAAGAAAAGCATCAAATTGTAAATGAATTAACCTTCCAGAACTAGTAAAGTGGAAGAATGTATTTAAAAAAAAAAAAAAAGGAACACTGGAAAGCAATTTGAAAAAAAAAAAGGGAACATAAATTCATACTAAATACGAGCAACCAAAACTTTATAACTCCCTTTTAATCTCAAAAAACTACTTCTGAGAGTTATAAAAGAGAAAGGTCAAAATTCGAAGTCACAGACTCAAAATTTTACGTCTAACAAATGGGAAACTACAGAAGTAATAAACCCAAACGCCTTATCAACTGAAAAAAAAAATGCAAGAAACAAAAAAGCATACCAAAAAAAAAAAACTCAACCTTGAAAGAAATCGATGCGAAGAAGAAGAAGAAGAGCAACAACTAGAAGACAGGGGATTGTAGACGAAAGGGCTGTTTGACTTAAAAGAAACAGAGATTCCATGTTTTGTCGCGTTGATGGACGAAGAAGATGAAACCGGGGTGGCGACGAATACGGAAGAGAGAGCTGCCGCCATGACTCTCTGTCTCAAAAGTTTTCTGAAGAGAAAAATCGAACTTCAAATTTCTTATTAGCGATGATTTTCAGATTTTGACTTCGATTCGATGGCTTCTCCGGAGAATCAGAGCTTACTGTTTTCTGTTTATGCCCAGTTGCCCACAGGACGGAACCTGGCAGCCTTGGTTTGGTTGGGCGGTTACTTGGGTGGTGGGCGCATTCGTTGTTTCCGAGCTCGGATCTGGTCCCAACACACCGTCCCAAAGGCCATTTCAGTCGTAAAGACAAATTTACCCTCACTTCTTTTTCAGGGAAAAAAATCCTAAATAACATGATTTTTATTCCTTACAAGAAACTGTTTCCACTAATTTTCCTTGTTTATATGATTGTGCCCATAAAGTCTTCAACTTAGCACAAATCGCATTGTGTGTTACTTCAATTTTTTTACCTGTAGAGAACGAAAATTAAGATAAAAATGTTTCATTCTTTATATTCTTTCTCCCCCTTATCATGAATTAAACTTATCCTACCGAAATCTTCTTATTCAGAACGCTTAATTTAACAAAATAAATATACAAATAAAAGGAAAAAGAAATATTGACTTCGTGACGTACAAAAGCAAAGAAAAATTACTCATCTTGGATGAGGTTCTCCCAAACAACAATAACAATCAATAGAAAGTATTGAATGTCTAAAACAGCCATTATAGGCATAGCTAGGCAAAGATTGAAGAAAAAGAATATTAAGGGCGTATTTGTTTATTCTTATGTATTGATGTAAAAGTGTAATAATTATATTAAGAGGTATATTGATATTAATGAATTTTTTTTTCCTTTGAATTCAGCTGAATACATGGACTTTTGAATTCGAGAATTTTTGTTTATGTTTTGAGAGTATCATCGGAAAACAAAAGGTTGTAAGGTTCCTCTTTAAGAAATAAGAAATAATAGAAAATGAATATCCATTTTTCTCTTAAAATTGTAAGATTCCCCTTAAGAGATAAGAGTTAAGAAAAAATGAACAAGTCGTAATCAACTATTAGAACAAGGGTCAAAGTTTAGACTATTTTGACCAAAATATGGATGACAGAATTTGTAACCTTGAACTTCCTCAATTGAGAGGGAATAATAAGTCAATTAGGATCACAAATCCAAAAGACTGATTTTCAATCAATTTCAGAGAACTTCATCAAACTTTATTAGAAACCATTGGACAAGAACTTGGGCAATAAATGTTCCTCCTACAATAAAAAGTTTCATATTGAAATGCTATCTATATGGCATTTGCAATTAAAAAAATCTTTCTAAATTTGGAATGTTTATTCACATACTTCATGCTTGGGCGTGTTGGTTTGATTGCAAAATAGGTCTTCTGTCCACACCTTTTTCAACAATTTTATAGACTAGTGGAAATGGTCGATTGAATCATGTTCAATCTAAGAAGGATGCTCTCTCACATACTCTTGATTATATAGCTATATATTATGTTTTGTTGTATTTGAAAATCATGAAATGAATTCATTTTTAACCAATTACACCTAATCCAAGTTTAATCGTTTTATTGGCAGGATGATGAAGGAAGTGGGAAAAGCTTCCCAATCAGCACCAAGCCACCGGCAAGCTAAATCGATGGCAAATGGCATCTTTTTGTAGAAAACCTCTGATGTTGGCTGTATTATTAAAGCCAACGTATAGGGATGGCAATTTCCCCTGTAAAACCGGGGGCCCACCCTACCCCACCCCGAACGAGGTGGGTTTTCCCCAACCCTAAATAAGGATGGGGCGGGGACAGGGAAAATAATTTTTCTCCAAATCGGGTACAAGGCAGGGATGGGTTTTGTATATAATTCCCCGAACCCGCCCTAAACCCAAAGGTAATCTAGTAAAATATCTCTAGGTTTAATATTGATATTTAAAATATCTCTAAGTTTTTCCTAAATTTTTTAAATCCTAGGATCCCATAATTTTATTTTTGAATTACTCCTAAAGTATTATAATTTAATTCTAAAATACCCCCAAATTCCTATATCCTATATATAAATTGCCCATAAAATAGATAGTTTTTATGTAATTGCCTTGGAAAGGGGAAAATTCGGGGATTCCCCGTCCCCGATAGGGAATGGATGCCCCGCCCCGCCACCGGGGACGGGGCGGGTATAGGGCAAGGTATTGTGACTTTGAGGTGGGGACGGGGAGGGGGTGCCCCACCCAAACCCGCCCCGTTGCCATTCCTACCAATGTAGATGGTATAGTTATATAACAAATGGAGTAGGGGGCTTTGGTTTTGTGTTTGAAAATGAGAATGGTTCCTTTATGATTGAGAGAAATGGAACATGTAGTGCTTCTTTTGCTAAATATTCTGAGTTGTTTATTATTAGAGAGTGTTGTCTTATAACTCAACTCATGAGTATGGTGTTTCAAATTTAATTACTAAAAGTAACTCAATAGCAGCCATTGATGCCACATCTAATAGATCTTTTGATTATTGATGCTTGGCCTATCTTGAATGATATTTTCAGGCTATGTAATGGGAATGTTAGATTTCAGTTTGTTGGGAGAGAATGCAATAGGGTTGCTCATGAATTGGCCAAAAGAGGTGTTCATTCTTTTGGCTAAAGGAATTGTTGTGCTCGTTCATTCTTTATAGTGATATGATAGTAGGAGCATTCAATCTCCATACCCTTTGGATTTGTGCTTGGAATTGTTGTTTGTTTTCTTTGATTCTTGTTCTTTGGTAGTTTAGTGTGACAAACTTTTATTTAGGAATTTGATAAATGATGAGTCCTACACAGTTCAGGGGTGGAGTAAAATAAAAAACTGTGAGATTTTTTTGGTAGAAAAGAGATGTATTAATTGGAAACACAAAAACATAACAATTAGTTAAGGATGAGAAAGATCCTTATCAGCAAAGCTTTGAATCCAACTAGGACATTGATAAATAAAAGACCTCGACCCTCCAAGCCCCTTTTTTACCAACTCATGAGCTACCATATTTGCATTCCTATTTACAAACTTAAAAGTCACTGGAGATGAGCGAATTTTTTGTAAGATATCCAGACACAGAAACACATCAGTAGCTCCTTCAGCATCTCCATAGATGATAGCCAAGATTAGGTTTGAGTAATCACTTCAAACTAGATTTTGGGAATTAAGAGCCCCTATCAAATCCAACCCTTTTAATATAGCTAATGTTTTAGCTTTAATGGGAGATTGGACTTTAGATTATCCAAAAGAAGCAGCAAGCACTTTCCCATTTGAATCTTTGGCCTCCACAACAAAACCAACAACACTAGAGGTTAGAAAACTTCCATCAATATTGATCTTTACATAGCTTTGACCTAGAGGAGTCCAAAAAAGATTTCGAGTTATTGTATGAGTTGCCTGTGAAGAAGGTCACCATCCTTGAGGGGAAATCATGGACATCTCCATCATCCTGGAAACACAAGAAATTTCTTTTCTACAATTTGGATTAGAATTTTCAAAAATTGCAGTATTTCTAGCTTTCCAAATAACCCATAGGATAATAATAGAAGTAGATATACAATCTGGGAATTGACTCAGGTTTTATTGGCAGAACTCCAACCACCAACAAAACCAGTTTGCAAAACTAGATAGGTTGCCAAAATCAGAAACCCTACAAGGGAGTGAGCTACCAAACCAAGTGGCTCTCGCATGATCACATAAAAGGAGAGCATGAACAATTGACTCTTCCTCTTTCTTACAGATTGGACAAGTGGTTGAGTTCGCAACACCTTTTCTAGCCATATTTGATTTTAATACTGGTCAATTCCAAAAACATCTTCATAAGTTCTTTAATTTTGGAGTTACATTTAGATTCCAAATAGTTTTCCAATGCTTTTTATTTACTACACCAGCACTAGAGGAAGGATTATGAGTAGAGTAATAAACATCCATACGTAGCTTGATTTTTTGTAGCCCAGTATGCTGATTTTACATCAAATTTTCTATCAGAGTCCAATAGAGTTTATCCCTCCATTGGCCTTTCGCTAAAGGAATTTTTAGCATACTTTCGGCCACTTCCTTACTAAAGGTGCTTTTAATCAATTCCTCATTCCACACTCTTCTTTCCTTGCATATTAGATTCAAACCCTAAGAAATATTTGGAGTTGCAGGTTAGGGACCATAAACTCTAAAACCAAGGAGTTTGGGGAGCCAGTGGTCCTCTTAGATTTTAACCTTAGTTCTAGAATTTACAACCCAACAAACACCTACTTTGATGATATCTCTAGTTACCACAAGACTTTGCTAGCCTTGGGAACCTCTCTGCGGCAATGTTGAGGTAAGAAAGTCTTTACTTTTCAAATATTTTGTTTTCATCATTTTTATCCACATATTGTCTTATTCAGTAAGGAGCCTCAAGCAAGGTTAAAGCATGACAGATCCCTAAGACCTAAACCACCATCTAGCTTGTTTTTACTTAGAGGTTGCCAACTAACCCAACTATTTTTTTTTTTTTTAATTTCCTCCTTCCCCTGATCCTCACCAAAATCTCTTTTGAGTTTTTTATAAACTTTTACAAATATTTTTTTAGAGTAGAAAACAATACCTGGTATAGTTGTATTAGTAGGTATTTCCTCCATCACTGATTTTAGAAAAAACTTCTTTATTTACTTGAGATAATAGAAGCTCTTGCCAATTTAAGGTTTTCTTTTCAACTCTTTCTAAGAGATAGTTAAAGAGGGACTTTTTTATCTTTCTATTTTAGTGAGGAGGCTTAAGTAGATTGAAGGATGGACAACCTTTTCCATGCCTAGAGCTCTTGCAACCTGGCATGTATATTTCAGGTAAAGAAAACTTCTGATTTTGCTAAATTTACCTGCTAGCTTGAGGCTCTTTCATAGCTATGAATGGAACAAAGTTTGTCCCTCCCCAAGGTTTGATCTGATGAGCATGTAACTATCATTTGCAAAAAAAACAAGTGTGAGATCACAGGGCAGTCCCTATTCAATTTTATACTTGAAATATGATAGAATCTCAAAGAAACAAAAACAATAACAAAAAGGGGGAAAAGGGTGTAACCCTATCTAAGACCCTTCTCTGGATTGACAGTACAACTTGGAGTACCATTTATTAGGACTTGGTAGGATATAGTTGTAACACATTCCATTACCCAATTTATCCATTTCTCTCCAAACCCCAACTTCTAGAGGACTTGCTTGAGGAAAGGCCACTCCACC